TTGTTGTTATATACCTGGATGACTGAGAAAACAAACTTTGTGTTTTTGAAACCATTAGTGAAAAGGCCAGACCTCAGGGGTATCTGAGGCAGGCTTGAAACACAAGAGTCAGGGTGGCTTCTGGGTAATACCAGATGGCTAGACCTCAGACTGACGAAGCCCCTCGAAACGTTTCTTTTTAACAAAAAAAACGAAGTCCAGATGACATGATTCAACCTTTTTTGTTGTTCCTCTAAGTATTGTTTTTTTCCAGTCAGTTCATGTTTGGCAGATCTGACTTGAGTTTGTCATCAAACCAGGATTAGCACCAAGTTCGTTCTTTTTTTTTTTACCCAAATTTTTAGCTGAACAATTCAGCAACATTCAAAGATGATACCAAAATATGTCAATAACTATTTGATGCATTTTAAACGAAGCTCTCAAAGTAATCGTTCGCCGTACGTCTACAGCTGATTAACATCTGGAATTGGTTGAATTGAAGGTGCTAAAGCTAATCAACCTTAAACACAGAGTGGTTGTAACTCAGTTTTACATCTATAAACCTAATATTTGGTGCGGTTGATCCACTACACATATTTTGAGTGCAAACAAATTACAGCTTGTCTTTGTTTTGAATTTTTCCCATAAATAATGTGAAGTACTGGATGGATTTTAGTAAAACTTTCTGGAAATATTCGTTGGACGTACATCTACAAGTGTTAAGCTTACAGGACCAAATTAATTCAAGATGGCCGCTACAGCTAACTGGCCTAAGAAAACGTAAAAATGATTATAACTTGTTTAATTTGGCAGATATTGCGATAAAAGTTGACATGGTTGTAGCTGAGAGTTATTCACAGCTTATGCTCCAAACGCTGCTCAGTGCACAAGAACGCTGCCTTAAAACTTCAACATTAACTCCTGGAGTCAGACCTGTTTGTCTGTTAGCAAAATATCTCATGAACCAGTTGAGGGGTTTTAATGATACTTTCAAAAAGTAGTAACTGGATGGATATCTCCAACTTATTAACTTTTGTTGTTGTTGTTTTTGTGCCACTTAGTATCAAAACGTTCGGCTCATTCAGGACCTTCCTGCTCCGACTTCTAATATTTGGGCACTTTTTTTTTTTTAAGTGTTTCGTCTTTTCTGTCGTGTTTATCTCTGAAAATGAACGCAGCTCTCTCCACAGCCATTGTGCTGTTGAAAACAACGTTTGTTCTGGTTTAGCTTGTTTCAGCTTCTTCAGCAGCTCTTATCAAAGATCATTCATCTATAGACATTTTCACAGGAAGTGCAGTTTCTCTAGTTATTATTTGTTTAGTAAAAAGTAACTGGTTTCAGCGCACACACAGAAACAAAAAGGAAAATGGACACAGTTGAAGCTTTCTGTTTGCTTTGGTCAGATCTTGGTTCCTGGAGAGGACGGTCTCCTCCAGGCTGCTGGGGCTGTCCACCTCGCTCTGCACCTTCCACTTCACGCTTCAGGCACCAGATGGAAAAGCCTTCTTACTGGTAAGAAGCAGGAAAGAAAATCTGAGTTGTGTTTAGACAAACGCAACCCAGGTCTCTGTTTACAGCTCGATCTGAGCCTCAGTGCCTGCGAGCAAACCTGTGTGCAGATTATTTGACTTTTAAAACTTCAACGGGAGCGTCACGCGATTTTTACCGTCTGTTTATTCACGCTGCAAAAAACTTCCCGTAACTATTGCAGCTGTGCTGTCGGCGAACAGCAGGACATAAAAGTCCTCACTGAGGCTCAGGCTGGCAGCAGAAGTAAAATCAATCTTGTGTGAAATTGGATCAAAATGGAGCAGATAAAATATCTGCTCCATTTTGATCCGTTTAATAAAAAGAAGAAGGAAAAAATGCAGAAGTGATGATAGAAGCTGGAGTCAGAATAGATGTTACAAACAGATTTTAGTTTTAGTTTTATCATCTCCTTGTTTCATCACATTCTCCTGCTGCTCTTAATCGTTTCTGTGTAGCTGAAGTGAAAGTTTCTGCTCCTCCTGTAGGTCTGGCTGCTGAACAGTGACTCCATCATAGCCTCAGTCCCAGAGGAGGATGTCAGGGCTGAGGTTGCCCCCCCTGATCTGGACAGCCCGTCACTCAGAGCCACCAGAGCCCTGAAACTCCTCTACATCACCTGCTCCGACGCCAGCATCCAGCAGAAAGAGTAAGTTAGGATGCTTTAATTATTGTCAGCTCCTTCATCACTCTTTTTTTTTTTTTTTGACCCCGACGTGGAGCAAAGAGGGGGATTGAAAATACCCTCCATCTGTCTGTCAGTGTTGTGAGCTGGATAACAAAAAATAAGTGAGGTTCCATTTTGGTTAGTGGCTGCATCTAGACAAAAGAAAGGACTAGAGTCTGACTGATAATTTTGGCTATCCCCGATACCAGTATTGGGAGGGGAAGGCTAATGCCAATAATCTATATATTGACTGGAAATTTTTTAGCTTCGTCCACCCCAAGAATCTAAGTAAGCAGCTACTTTTAGGGTGCATTCACACCAGCCCTGTTTAGTCTGCTTTAATCGAACTCTAGCTCGTTTTCCTAGAAAGTCCGGTTCGTTTAGGGAGGTGTGAACGCGCCATCGAACTCTGTCACGGAACAAAAAGGCGAACTCTGGTCCGGGCTAAAACCTAGGTCTCGGTCCAGTAGAAGCGAACTCCAGCGCGGTTCGAGTGCAGTGTGAATGTAAACAGACCGAGCCCCGCTCCGCAGGGCAAACAAACACGCATTTCTCTGACCTTATATGGAGCCGTCAACTGCCTTGTGTGGAAAAACAATATTCTCCATGGTCTTCTGTCTCATCTTCTGCTCATGCTGAGTCCATTTTTGAAAAATGACAAAATATAACTCCTAAAACTGCTAAAACTTGATGTCACTCCGTTTTTGTTTTTATTTACCGAAGAAGAAGAAGACGTGTCTTCAGAGGTTTTTGTGTCATTTCTTTCAGTAGTTCTTGGTGCAGCGCCCCCACAGGCGAGCGGGGGAATTGGTTGGTTCAACAGGTTGACTCGACTGCACAGTGCAGTGTGAATGCAAACGCACCAGCTCAAATGTAAACAAAAGGTCATGAATATTGGTCCCGAACCGAGTCTACTGGACTATCTGGTGTGAAAACGACCTTAAACCTGTTTTAATGCTTGAAGTCTTGAAAGTCTTCCTAACGTACGTTCACATTTTCTATCCTCCAATATTCACTATAAGGTTATCGAGTGTGTTACAAAAATATAAATTAAACAAAGAAACACCCTTCTTGTTCATTGTTTAAACAGTCAAGTATGGTGAAGGTCTAATTAGCATTGACAACAGCAGTTTTTATTCTTTTTTACAGAGAAGTAAAGATTTCAGACAAAGCATTTCATTGAGGACAACAAAGATAAAGTTACTAACATTGATATATATTTACCTCTACATTAGATTTATTGTTCTGGATAAAGTTTTACAAGGCAATTGCCTATGCTAGGGTATCTATAGCTTGCTAACTTGAGATGCACGTAGCTAATGACAAATGGGTTGGAGGATTGAAGAGAAATTATTATTTTTTATTTTTTATTTATTTTACACATCACTTAAAATAAACCTACTATGATCAGTTCAGCAAAATACGCTACACAGTTTTTAGTTGCTCCCTGCTTCATCTGTGCTGAATGTGAAAGTGAAACTTAAGTGAACGGCCTTGATTTGAAAGTAGTCTGCATGTGCTCTCTGCTGGATGTACAATTACGGCTTTTTCCTCAGCATTTTTGGGGTGAAAATTAAAAGTGCTTATATCTGCACATAATGGGACAATTATCATAGATATCGATATGTCCCCAAACGCCTATATTGGCCCTACCGATGGATGTATCGGTTGGGCTCTAGAAAGGACCCTATTGAAAATTGGGTTGCCACATCAAAATCTATATGATCAGTCAGTTTGGGGGAAAATTGACTATTGAAATCCATTATAAATAGATTTTTTAAATTCCTATATTTATCACATTTTAAAATAATGCTTTCTAATCAGTAATACTTTAAAAAAATATCTTTATCGCTATACTTTTAATTTTATATTAGCCCAGAAAGTGGTGCACTGCTTTTACCTCTGAGGGGCACTATAACAGTTCAGGGGGCAGGAACTAAACCTGGAACAGTTACTTACCAGTATTTCCCAGCTGGATGTTTCTTGTTGAGTTTCGTCGCCCATCTCGTCCAACAAAATTGTTTTACTTTGGCTGTAATAAAGAGAAGAAAAAAAAAACCACTTGTGCAGAAGTTAAAATTTAGTACGAGAAGCAGTTCCATAAACTCTTTCAGCTGTTTAAACCTGTTACTGATCATTTCAGCTGTTGTTTTCCAGCTTCTTTGTGCTAATTTCAGTTTCCTCCAGCTCTTTTCAAATGCTTTGCTTATTTCAGCCTTGTCAGCTATTTTTCTGCTCCTTTCAGCGTCTTTCTGCCAAATGCAGCCTTTTCAGCTGTATTTTAGGTATTTGCCAATTATTACCCTTTTTTCTGCAATTTCTTTGCAAATTTTTGCCTTTTGTTCTTCTTTCTGATAATTTCAACTTATTTTATCTTTTCCAGCTGCTTTTTAGTGCTAAATTCAGATATTTTTTTTTGTAATTTATTGAGCCTCTATTTGCCCATTTGAGTTTATTCTGCTTATTTCTGCTGCATTTCAGCTTATCCTACACATTCCTGTCATTTTTCTGCTGCTTTCTGCTTTTATTTTCCTGCTTTCATTCATTCGTGCTCACACAGACTCATGTTCATGCTGCTGTTTGGTGTATTGTTTTTATGCTATTAGTGCTTAGCGTATTTTTAGTTGATGTTTTTTTTTTGGGGGGGGGTTTTACATTTTGTTTTGATGTAACTGGGACCCTGTCTACACAATTTCAATAAAGAAACTCTGACTTTCAGCAAATATCAGATGTTCAAACTGAACTCTCATCGACCGCTCAGCGATGAAACCTTTTCAGCTGCTTTCAGCAAAAAACATTCAGCAATAAGCATTCACTCTGCATTCTCACAGGAAAGGTCATCCCTCTAGTTTTAATTTGTTTCTGTAAAAATAATAAATAATTTAAATTTTTTGCAAGAAATGCTGGGAAGATGAAAAAAACATGAACACGTTGTGGTGAAGTCAGTTCAGGCTAGCTGCCTAATTTTGGAGCAGCACTCATAAAATTTAAAAGAAGCAAGGCCACTAATGGTAAAAGTTAGTTTAGAGCCATGTTTGTTTAGGAATAAAGGACAATTCCTTTTTTATCGTTTCCTCCTTTATCCTGCGTATCATGTCTGGAGCATGGTGACGAGCCTCTAGGATGGTTTTAACTTCTCCGATGCTGTGTCTCGCATGTTGTCCACGTTCTGTAAACAGCACCACACTGAATGAACCTTCCACCCTCATTATTTTCATCTGAGTCAGGACTCAGCATTTTCTCCTCCTCCTTATTTTCTCTCCTCACAGCCACACAGAACAGGGAGGTTTTGTTGCTACCACCATTTTGACAACCTCACCGTCTGACTGACAGAAAGGCTAATTAGAGACAAAACTCACACTTGAAGAGAAAGCAGCCTTTTCAGTCAGCGCAGGAAGGCCAGAGTTGAATGACGTGACGTAAAGGCTGAGTGATGCGTATGAACACGATCATTGTCGTGAAACAAAAGCTGCATTCCCAGCCTCAAGACATTAAATGAAAGAACTGCTGCTCAACATCTGGTGAATGGTAAACACTAGAGCTCAACACGTTATTTCAAAAGGCTAGTCTTGGATTTACATGCTGACATTTATTTTTCTTTGAAATTTCTGACCTAATCAAAGGTACTGGTACTGAAGCCGATCATGGCAATTATGGCAAATTATAGTGTGTTTTCATTAGAGGCAGATCATTTATTATGCTGCTTTTATGCCCGCATGTGCTGCTCTTCTTTCAAATTGCACCCACCTGTGTTTGGATACCAAAACAACCTGATGTTAATCTGTATTTCTAGTAGAAACACTGGATTCTTATGCACTTTAAACCTTGGAAAATTGTAAAATGTACTATTATAAAATTATGTATTTTTATTGATCCATATCCCTGCCATCATTCACGCCAGAGTTTTATGGTTAAAATCATCTTACGATGAGAACTGATGAGCTGTAGAAGGTTGCGTCACACAGACTGCAGTGCAAAATAAGTGAAAATATTGATTTGATATTGAATATCGATTGCTGTAACTCAGATTTGCATGAAAATGAGTCAATAAAGATTTAATCACTGGAGGGATTATATGTCCTTTCTGGCCTGGAGACAACTTGGGATTCTCTAGGAGGAGCTAGAAAGGGGATATTTGGGTTTTTCTTCTGGACCTGTTGCTTTTGTGACCCAGCCACAGTTAAGTGGCAGAAGATAGAGGAATTTGTCTAGAAGTTCAGGCATTGCTGCTTTGCTATATTTGGTTACATTATATTCTGATAATTAAACCTGATTTCATGTCATTTTCCAGTGTTGATACCTAAACATCGAGTGCCCCCCTAACACTTAATTTGAAGTTAAAGGAGTTGTGGTTAAAATTAGAGCCTGACCAATGTGGGAAAGTATGGCTATCACCAATGCCGATAACCGATATAATGGCTGAAAAGTTCTGAGCTTTGTCTACCCCCAAGAATCCAAGAAAACAGCGATTGAAGCGGGGCTTGTTTATTTAGCGCAGCTCTTAGCAACCATGAAGCTAACCTAATCAGATCCACGCTTTACCTAGATCCACAGTATGTTTACAAGTGATGCACTGGTCATAAAAACAGTCTTCCTAATGTGCATTCACATTTTCTATCCTAAACTATTCACCATAAAGTTATCAAGTGTGTTAAAAAATATATAAATTAAACAAAGAAATGCCCTTCCTGTTCATTGTTTAAAATGGTCAGTCATATATGGTGAAGGTCTGATTAGTGTTGACCACATTAGCATTTGTTTTATTTTTTTGCAGAGAAGTAAACATTTCAGACAAACAATGATTTTATTGAGAATGACAAACATAAAGTTACTAACACTGATATATTTAACCTCTACATTAGATTTATTGTTCTGGATAAAATTTTACAAGGCAATAGCCTATGCTAGGTTATCAAAATGTTACCTTGCTAACCTGAGAGGCACGTAGCTAATGACAAGTGGGTTGGATGTTTGAAAATAAT